GCACCGAACTTCCAGTGAGACGTGTCCAGTTCACCTTCGATTCAAAACAGTCAAGCTCAAGTGCGAGCAAGTTTTGAGGCACCAAAATTCCAGTGAGGCGTGTCCAGTTTACCTTCGATTACAAACAGTCAAGCTCAAGTGCGAGCAAGTTTTTGAGGCACCGCAATTCCAGTGAGACGTGTGCAGTTTACCTTCGAATCAAACCAGTCAAGCTCAAGTGCGAGCAAGATTTGGAGGCACCGAAATTCTGGTCAGACGTGTCCTGTTTACCTTCGAATCAAAACAGTCAAGCTCAAGTGCGAGCAAGTTTTTGAGGCACCGACATTCCAGTGAGATGTGTCCAGTTTACCTTCGAATCAAAACAGTCAAGTTCAAGTGCGGGCAAGTTTTTGAGGCAACGAGATTCAGTGAGACGTGTTCAGTTTACCTTCCAAACAAAACAGTCAAGCTCAAGTGCGAGCAAGTTTTTGAGGCAACGAGTTTCCTGTGAGACGTTTGCAGTTTACCTTCGAATCAAAACAGTCAAGCTCAAGTGCGAGCAAGTTTTTGAGGCACCGAAATTCCAGTGAGGCGTGTCCAGTTTTTTTTTTTTACCTTCGATTCGAAACAGTCAAGCTCAAGTGCGAGCAAAGTTTTTGAGGCACCGAACTTCCAGTGAGACGTGTGCAGTGTACCTTCGAATCAAAACAGTCAAGCTCAAGTGCGAGCAAGTTTTTGAGGCACCGATCTTCCAGTGAGACGTGTGCAGTTCACCTTCGAACCAAAGCAGTCAAGCTCAAGTGCGAGCATTTTTTTGAGGCAACGAAATTCCAGTAAGACGTGTTCAGTTTACCTTCGAATCAAAACAGTCAAGCTCAAGTGCGAGCAAGTTTTTGCGGCATCGAAATTCCAGTGAGACGTGTTCAGTTTACCTTCGAATCAAAACAGTCAAGCTCAAGTGCGAGCAAGTTTCTGAGGCATCGTAAATCCAGTGAGACGTGTGCAGTTTACCTTCGAAACAAAACAGTCAAGTTCAAGTGCGAGCAAGTTTTTGAGGCACCGAAATTCCAGTGAGATGTGTGCAGTGTACCTTCGAATCAAAACAGTCAAGCTCAAGTGCGAGCAAGTTTTTGAGGCACCGAAATTCCAGTGAGACGTGTTCAGTTTACCTTCGAATCAAAACAGTCAAGCTCAAGTGCGAGCAAGTTTTTGAGGCACCGAAATTCCAGTGAGGCGTTTCCAGTTTTTTTTTTTTTTTTTTACCTTCGATTCGAAACAGTCAAGCTCAAGTGCCAGCAAGTTTGTGAGGATTGAAGTGAGACGTGTGCAGTTACCTTCGAATCAAAGCAGTCAAGCTCAAGTGCGAGCAAGTTTTTGAGGCACCGACATTCCAGTGAGACGTGTCCAATTTACCTTCGAATCAAACAGTCAAGCTCAAGTGCGAGCAAGTTTCTGAGGCTCCGAAATTCCAGTGAGACGGGTTTAGTTTACCTTCGAATCAAAACAGTCAAGCTCAAGTGCGAGCAAGTTTTTAACGTGTCCAGTTTACCTTCGAATCAATACAGTCAAGCTCAAGTGCGAGCAAGTTTTTGAGGCACCGAAATTCCAGTGAGACGTGTCCAGTAAACCTTCGAATCAAACAGTCAAGCTCAAGTGCGAGCAAGCTTTTGAGGCACCGAGATTCCAGTGAGACGTGTGCAGTTTACCTTCGAATCAAAACAGTCAAGCTCAAGTGCGAGCAAGTTTTGAGGCATCGCAATTCCAGTGAGACGTGTCCAGTGTACCTTCGAATCAACCCAGTCAAGCTCAAGTGCCAGCAAGTTGTTGAGGCACCAAAATTCCAGTGAGACGTGTTCAGTTTACCTTCGAATTCAATCAGTCAAGCTCAAGTGCGAGCAAGTTTTTAACGTGTCCAGTTTACCTTCGAATCAAAACAGTCAAGCTCAGGTGCGAGCAAGTTTTGTAAGCACGGAAATTCCAGTGAGACGTGTCCAGTTTACCTTCGAATCAAAACAGTCAAGCTCAAGTGCGGGCACCGACATTCCAGTGAGACGTGTCCAGTTTACCTTCGAATCAAGACAGTCAAGCTCAAGTGCCAGCAAGTTTTTGAGGCACCGAAATTCCAGTGAGACGTGTCCAGTTTACCTTCGAATCAAAACAGTCAAGCTCAAGTGCGAGCAAGTTTTTGAGGCACCGAAATTCCAGTGAGACGTGTCCAGTGTGCCTTCGAATCAAACAGTCAAGCTCAAGTGCGAGCAAGCTTTTGAGGCACCGAAATTCCAGTGAGATGTGTCCAGTGTACCTTCGAATCAAAACAGTCAAGCTCAAGTGCGAGCAAGTGTTTGAGGCACGGAAATTCCAGTGAGACGTGTCCAATTTACCTTCGAATCAAAACAGTCAAGCTCAAGTGCGAGCAATTGTTTGACGTGTTTAGTTTACCTTCGATCTAAGACAGTCAAGCTCAAGTGCGAGCAAGTTGTTGAGGCACCGAAATTCCAGTGAGACGGGTTTAGTTTACCTTCGATTCAATACAGTCCAGCTCAAGTGCGAGTAAGTTTTTGACGTGTTTAGCTTACCTTCGAACTAAGACAGTCAAGCTCAAGTGCGAGCAAGTTTTTGAGGCAACGAGATTCCAGTGAGACGTGTTCAGTTTACCTTTGAATCAAAACAGTCAAGCTCAAGTGCGAGCAAGTTTTTGAGGCACCGAAATTCCAGTGAGACGTGTTCAATTGTTTTTTTGCTTCAGACAGGTAAGTCAAGCGCGAGCAAGTTGTTTTTAGGCACCTTGACAGAGATTCCAGTCAAGTGAGGTGCATAGTTTACCTGCGGTTCAGACAGTCAAGCTCAAGTGCGAGCAACCCGAGGCACCATTCCTGGATACCATCCCAGCGGAATTTGCCAATCTGCCATACATGCAGAATGACGAGCTGGACTGTTTGAGAGGAACATTTTTACTTCAGAGACTGGGCAGCGCATCAGATGACCCAGGCACAGTTGCTGTTTGATTCCTTTGCTAACCCCTTACTAACTTGGCCAAACATTTTTCTGCCTGGTGGATGGTGGCCCAGCTTTCTGTTCGCTGCACTCATTCTATGGCCAGCGCTGGGACATTGTTGCGGCTGGCTCCTCTCTCGCCGTCGCTTCGATTCGCCGTCTGATGGCGCAGGCAAGAGGCTGCTGACGCCCCAAAAATGGCGAGGGCGAGCAGAGGCAGCAGATCACTTTCAGAGGATTCGACCCTTCCTGGAGCAGAATTCCCAATGGTTTGCGGACAGGTGGGGGTGGTTCGCAATGGCCAAGTTTGGTTAATGAGCCAGGGCGAGTTTTTAGGGGTGTTTTGAGAACTCCCAAAAATCGCCACGGCCAAGGTGAGTGAGGTTTGTTTTTATGTGTCCGAAGGACTTTCGAGTCTTTCCTGCGTGCTGTCGGAGCTGTGCTCTCAAGGGGCTTCGTTTGCCAAGGTCAAGGAGCAGTGTGCCAAACATGTCGATCCATCATGCGCAAAAGTCCATTCCCGCGAAGCCAATCTGCCAATCCGCACCATAGACGCCAGGACCCTTCATGGTGCCTTTTGCGGATGCCTTCAACCATGCGGGCTTGGGCTGGAACCAGTGTCAACTCGAAGGGCGGGCGGCAGAAGGTCTGGCCTTTGTCATGCGCTCCATTCGAGCAGTGCCAGCCGGAGAAGAGGTCTTCAATACCTATGGGCCTCTGCCATCCGCGCATCTCTTGACCTCCTTCGGTTTTGTTGGTCGCTTGGTTGCCTCCTTGGCAGAATCGGCATCAATTTTCTGCCATTGCGTGCCTTGTTCCATCCACGTGTATGACTTGGGCACCTGAGGACACGGCATCAATCCATACGACTTTGATTGCGTTCGCTTGGCAGAGACCTGCTGCCTATCACCAGGCTTCATCCCAAAGCAGACATCATGGGTGCTTCAGGTCGGAGTGTCCGGGAAGCAAATAGCTCATTGGCTTGGAACGCCATAGCTCATTCCCTGACTTTCAATGTGCGCTTGTGAAGCTGGGGGAAGCATTGTGCCGGGCCTTGCACGCGCAAACCGCACTCTCATAATTCCTTTTCTGCGAAAGCACCTCTGGTTGATCAATATTCCCGGCCCCCAAATTCCCATGGCGAACTTTCTCCTTTGAGTGGGACACTTTCTTCCCTAATGGTCAGCCCATGCTCGGAGCTTTTGACCCAGACCCAAGGCTCGCAGTTCAGCAGCGGCGCTGCTGAAACGCCAGCGCTGCCGACTGGAAGCCAGAGCACTCCTGCGGCCGCGGAAGCGTGCCAGGAGTCGGAGCAACTTGACAGTTGTGCGTGTTTCTAGGGGTTGACATTCCTTTTCCATTCTTTTCAACCGTCGTTCTTTTCGGAAACCGCATCTGTTTCTTGCTGGGTGTTGGATGGTTTCCTGAAAGAAGGATCCCTGGAAAGAATGGGGAAGGTACCCCTGGAGTTTTGTCCGCAGATCTTCAGGGCCCCCGGAGTAGGTTTTGGACTTGCTGTGAATCCGCCTCAGGCGGCCTCAACAGACTTGCACGCCTGCAGTGTCTGTTTTTGCCAATGGGTTGGATTGCCAAGGTTTGCACACATCGACAGTGGTATTGAAGCTGGCACGCTTGTCCGTGCAATTTGTGCGTGCAGAATTGATGCGAGACTCCCTTTCTCACGTTGGACATGGAGAAGACATGCGCCACATCAGATTGACTCAAATCCGCCGGTACAAGTCTGCGGAAGCTAAGTTTCTTGGGCAAGTTGAGACAGCACTCACAAGAGCGCTTGCTCAACACCGAGTCCGCCGAATAAAACAATCGCAGATGTGCGTCCATGCGCATGGCCCTTCAGTCTGAAGGTGAATTCCGTTGCAGGTGGCGGTCAAAACCAATGGTATCCCATTTTGGGATACGTGCACCCATTTTAGGCTTTACTTTAGTGGTTGGATATGTTGGATTGGTTGATGTTCACTGGGGGCTCACCGGTTTGGATTTTGAGAAGCCCATGGCCATGCAGTGAGGCCAAGAGCGAAAGGAAGAAGGAGCCCCGCGCAGGCACCCTGGAAGTTCCCCAGGCCGCGATGCCTCGATTGCCGGGTTGCGGTCGAAGCAAATGCCTGTGGCTCAAAATTGAACAGGAGGGGCAGACCGCAGGTTTTGGTCCATGTCACGAAAGCTAGCTTTAGCTAGCTGAAGTTTCTCCTTGCGTAAGCAAGGTAAGGGGCTCAACTGCCGAAAGATTGATTTTTTCAATTATTTGAGCCGAAAAGATTGAAAAAAATCAATTATTTAGACCCCCCCCTCCCCCCCCCCCCGTCTCAGGCTCGATTCCTCCTTGGTCCACCCAGTGGCTCAGTGTTTCAGCAGTCTCGGTTTGCCCGTTTTGGACTTGGTGCTACGAACTTTTACATGTTCCACCGATTCAGCTTGTTCATTTGAGACCTCAGTCTTCTCAGTAAACCACCTCGCAAGAATCTTTGCACACGCAGCATGCAGAACCCAGAGGTGCTTTAAGACAGCTTCTGACGCCTCTCGTTGTTTTCATTTTGCAAGGTTTGCCACGCCACCATGTGCGTTTGCGTGTCGCATCCTACGAATCTTGCCGGGCCTCTCGTTGTACACAAGCTACCTATGAATCCACTCTGTCACCGACCCATCTCATGCAACAACTGCTAGCTTTCGTTCACCCGCTCCTCAAGTTTCCACTTACCAGGGCAACCCATTTTGGCACCGGGTTTTTGAGCCACAGCCAAATGGCTGTGGCTCAATAAGCTCAGGTGATATTTCCCCAAGAGCATGCGTTAGTGCTCGCGCCACCCCGCAGCCCTTGCAGAACCTCGCAGAACCTCGCAGAACCCTGGGGCCCGGAGCGTATCTGGGCTGAGACCCCAAAGCTTTCAGCTGTTGGGGAAAGAACTGGTACCAAAATGGGTTGCCCTGGTACGTGGAAACATAGACCAAAACCTGTGTAACCCCTCCTGTTTAATTTTGAGCCCCACCCAAATGAGTCATAAAATCAAAACCCGGTATGAAACAGGTCATAACCCAGAGCCGTGTAAGGAATTGAAAGGGCGGAGGTCGGCGCCCGCTTTGTGGCTGGGAGTGTTTCCTACCCTCCAAGTACCCGTGTGTTGATTGTGACTAATGTGTGCTTCCATGTTCAGACCCTCATTGCCAGGGTGGCGACACGGGCTCGAGGAAAGCCAGCGATGTATCCTCTGCTGATGCGGAGGAAGAGGTTGTTGTACCGGGAAAGGCGCGGACATGTTGAAGGTATGCAAAATAGAGCCTGGTGGATGGAAACAAGGACAAACCTGCGGTCCCCTGGTGGTTCATTTTGACCCATACCAATGTGTATCTTGCTGACTCTTCTTCGAGAACGAGGCTTCTGCCATTATGACTGCTGAGCTGAGCATGTGATTGCGAAAGTGCCTCGGTTGGAGCGCAAGAAAACAACAACTCGGGACAAATCTGATGCAGGAAAGAAACCCTCCGACAACCACATCGCCATCAAGATCGCCAAAGAAAGGCGAGCTCGAGATTCTGAAAGGAGATTAGGTAGACATGTTGGATAGCCGGATAGAGTGATCAGAAGGAGTGGTCGATGTTCAATCCTATGTTCGACTTGAATTGGGGGTCTGCGTAAAGCGGGAGGAATGACCCACTGGGAAAGGACACTTCTGGGCGGGTCACGGGGCGATTTCGTTTGTGTACAGAAAGGCCGATGCGGATCACAGGGAAAGCAAGAGATTCAGAAAACATGGCTGCGGGTCAAAACCAATGGGATCCCATTTTGGGGTAGGTGCACCACCCATTTTAGTCTGTTTTAGTGGGGATTGGGATGTTCACTTGGTACGGGATTTTGACCCATGGCCATATCATTCCTGCGCTCAGATCGAAGCCGCTCGCCAAAGCCAGAGGCGACCTGGCGCGCGTTGGATCATGAGATGCTAAGCTCGCTCGCTTGCAGCTGGGATTTCATGGGTTGTTCTCGATCCAGGCTGAGAAGAACGAGTTCGGCAAGGACATTTTGGGAATCATGCGGAAAATTGGGCTCACTGAAATTTGAACCCGCGCTCCCCAATCAAACGTATATGTTCGGAGCAGACATCGAGTGAGTTTTCACTTGCCGACTCAGTGGCCTGTGCAGTCCTCGTGCTGCATAGATCGATCGCGAGACTTCAACCCGAAAGCCTTCTGTTAGGACGTGGAGAACTTGGATGGGCTTGGCGCCTTTGCCACCCAGTTTTGCTGGGCCGGCATGTATGGAGGCGCGGCCAAGCTTAGTTTGGCAATCCGATCGTGGGTTGGAGGTGGCTGTGGTTGTCAAAACCAATGGGATCCCATTTTGGGGGTTTCGGTGCACCACCCATTTTAGAATGTTAGAACCTATTTTAGTGGGGATTGGGATGTTCACTGGGGGTACGGGATTTTGACCCATGGCCAGGTATGAGTGGCACTGGACTCCGACCACGGTGGAAGGACAATCCACGATTGCCAGCCCTCGTTGGCAAGCAGTCC